GGGGGGCCCCGGAGCCAGGAGGTCCCGTCCAGCCCCTCGCTCCCATGAGCAGCCCTCTTCGGAGCTCGTTAAGCCGCAACCTAAAACCTTGCCAGGCTTTTTTTGTTTTCCTCGTCCAAATAAAAATCCCTGCAGGGAAGCCACGAACGGCCCCTCTGGTCTGTTGCCTCGAAACCCCCTCCTGCTCCCTGCCTTGGTTTCTGCTCCTGCCAATATCCCGACACTTAAGGTCTCGAGCTTATAACGTCTCCTTTTATTCTACCCCTTGTCACATCGGTACTGCTTCGTGCTACCGATTAGCCGCTCCATAGCTTCTCCTCCGCCTTTCGCCTGCCCCTGGGTGCAGACGGTCCCAGCCCTCGGTGTCCCCGGCACACTAAGATAAATTGTTTTACGCCTGGGGCTGAGCTCAGCGAACCAGCGAGCATCACAGTCGTGCATCGGGATCCTTGCAAAGCTCGTCCGTATTAATGCAACATCTGCCGCTGCTGGCAGAGGCCCCGCGAAGCCAGCAAGCTTTCCTGTCCCCCTGACAGAGCCTGGAAGGAATGCACCGTTTGGACTCCGGCGCGGGGAGCCAGCGGCTCGCTCGCAAGAGGCACCGAGGGTCCAAGTAATTCAAACCCCTCTCTACTCCTTTTAATCGAGCCCTGCACGTTCGCGCTCCTGCACATCGTAAAGAAGAAGGAGAAGTTATAGGGAATGTTGTCGTCTGTAATATTTCCCCCCCTCGCCTTTGAATGCAGTTAAACTTTTTTGCATGGATTTAGGGGGAGGTGTTATTTCGGGTTAAGATTCGAGTCATCTTTGCAGCCTGCATTTTCCCTTCACATTTCAGCCCAAGGCATCCCTGAGCCCTTCAAAAACTAAGCCTAAAGGGGCGGCGGGTAGGTCTCAAGACAGCAGTTGTCTCCAAGCCGGACCCTGGTAGCCCGATGTGATCATTCAGGGCTGCAAAGGGTCTCGGGGAATCCTGCGCTCCAACCGCTGGGCGAATGCAGAGCGGTGGGAGCGCTTATAGGCAGATGTGAACACTAACGCTGGCGATGTAGAGTGTTTTTACCCAACGCGTGTGCGAATCCAAGTGACAGAGCTCGATTTTTACCTCCGATTCCTTCCCAGGACTTTGGAGATCGCTGTGGGACGAAGACGTGGATCCTCCGTTCAGCTGTGGGAAACAAAAGCGTTAATAGAGATATTGCACAAGCGGGGAAGAAAAAATTGCTGCGCAGCCTCTTGCCTCACGGGGATGTGATCGGAGCCAATCCTGCCAGGTGGAGAATAACGTCTGGTTTGTCTAAGCACGTGGCCGGGCTGGCTGGAAACGCAAAGCGGCTGGAGGGGGGGTTGCAAATCCAAGCGACAAAACTATTCAGATGTTTACTAGCAAACGGCAAATCCCTGAACGCAGGCCGGAGGGAGGCACCGTCCAGCCATGCCTCGCCGGCTTCAAGGGAGCTGCACCCGCTTACGCCTGGCTGGACTTGGCCCTGCTTTCCCACTATTGTTTAGCAGAGGCTCGGGCTGCGGGAGTGCAATTCAATAGCCTGGAAGCCGGCCTCCTTTCAAAGCCACCTTGGAGCTGAGGCGGCAGGGGAAGTCATTAAGTTTACTAGATGTTAGCTAATTGAAGCTAAATAAACCTCAGAGCCCTCCTTGAGGGAGGTACCGTCCCCCGTTAGAGAAAGGGGCCCAGGTAGCCTCTCTTGCTGCACGGCGAGAGCCCAGGCGTCCTGAGCGCACCCTCTCCCAAAACACGGTGAGCTGGTCCTTCAATTTGTCTTTCGAAACAGCCGGAGCCTGAGCGCAGCCTATAAGTACTCACCTGGGTTTGCGGAGACCCGTTGGTAATAGGCTGGGGCACACCACCTGCGGGCCAAGCAGAGAGAAGGTCTGGTCAGCACGTCAGCGAGACCCACCCAGGGCCCGGCCCACCTCGAAGGCTATCGGAGCCCCCTTTGCAGGATGTGGGGGTCACAGCGTGCCGGGCCCCTCACGACCCGCGCCCTCGCCTCTTCATCCCCTTGCATCTCTTCTGTGGCAACCTTTTCTAACCCCTCCCCACAAAACACATCCTTCCAGAAATCATTCGGGGCTAAAAGTAGATTAAAAAGAAAAAGCCCTCATCGGATCCAGCATCCTTACACAGTTCCAACGCAAAAAACCAGACCCTGCTCCGCTCAGAAAACCCCCACGCCCAGCTACGTGCTTCACCACCTTTTGGTAGTTTTGCGCTAAAATGTGTGCACCGGGGGATGGTCCTGCTGTGAGCGGCAGGTCGGACTAGGTGATCTCCCGACATCCTGCCAGCCCTCGTTTTCTATGATTTCTATTCATTCCTTTCTGCACGGTTTCATCACGAATGTTGCCATTATCTCGCACTATTAGCAAATCCCTGTAAAGACAGTGATGATGATGCAGATGAGCTGCTAATCAACCAGGTCCAGCCCGGTGGAAAGGAAACTCAGGAGGGTGAAGACTCAGGCAGCGGGGGGGCAACAGCTGGGCCAGCCTCGCCAGTCAGCATGCGATACTTGATCTCCGGACATGCAATACTTAATCTCCATGCAGGCTAGAAGCTTCTTGGGGAAGAAGGTATCCGAGTCGCCACATTTATGACTCGGATCGAGGCGCTATAGCAGCATTTCGGGGCTTTCTGAACTGCTTTAAGGACCTGGGAGCCCAGCTTTCAGGACCCAACCACATGTGCTGCCCAAGACAGGCTCTCCCTGCTGAATTGCAGCGAGCGGCAGCAACCCCAGAGGCAATTTCAAGCACAAATCCCGAACCCAGGGTCAAGGTGGTGCCAGAGCCCTGACCTGCAATGGTGGGATCCATCAACCAAACCCACCCACCTACCCGCCAGGCTTCAATCTCAGCAACGAGGGGGCCGGCGCTGAGCGAGAGCTCGCCAGTCACACAACCTGCCGCGACGGCAGCTCTCGGCAATGCCAGCCACATCTCCTCGAACGCAAAACAAGGGCTTCATTATCACTCGCGCCAAGAGCGGGGTATCTCTCGCGCCATCTCCCGCTTGTTCCAGTTCTGAGCATCTGACACCGTCCTCCCCTCATGCGGCTCTCAGAACGCTTTGACCCGTTTTTTTTGGACAAATCTCTCCGCTGAATACTTGAAAGAGCCAAGCGGTGGCTTGAGCCAGAATTCAGCGTAGATAAGAAACAGCTGTGTTGAAAAACAGAGCTCTCCATTCAGCCAGCCAGCCAGGAGGAAAATATGTGTTTGGAGGAATGCAGCGATCTCTCCCCAGATGGGAGCCTGCAGGACTCCGGGTCAGATAGCAGATAGGCATCTCTCTTGGCCAATTTGCAATGGCAAGGATAATATTTATTACGGTTATCGGGGCTTAGTCGCTGTCGCATGCAATCGCTTCCTTTGCTTCCCCCCAGTGCTTGCTCTGTGTGTGTATATGTGTGCGTGTGTGTGTTCACAACCAGCCACGTGCTTTCTGCAGGCCGGAAGAAGGGAACAAATTGCACCGCTTGCCCTTCAGGGTCCACTACCAGACCTCTTAGGCAGCTCGAATCCTGCCCCAGGACGGAGCTGGGCTCCACTCTGCCCTCACCTCCCTTCCCCAGCTTCCTTTGTGCATGGGGCAGCGATGTCTTTGGGAACATGGAAATCGCCATGCTGGAGCAGGCTGGCATGATATCCTGTCCCAAACGGCACCCGACGCATCAGAGGAGGGTGTAGAAAGACCCTGGCCATAGCTAGCTGTGCAAGCTTCTTCTGGACCGCAGAGAGGCCGCACTCTGCTGGCGTCCTGAGCCAGGCGGACTGAGGTCTCTCTGTCTTAACTACCTGACACGCTGCTCATTCATCTCTCCAGCGTCCTATTCAGCTCTTAGCCCCGTGGCAGGGAGTCTGCAGGTTAGTTGGTCCTGC